TCAGTGGGTGTTGCAGTGCATCAGTCCAAAAAAAGTTAAATAAACAATCGCCCATCCTTAATAAAAAGTGTCTCACACAGCTCCAGGGTGTGAACAAAGTCCTCCTGTAGCGAATCGATGTGTTTTTGTAAGAAAAATAACCATATTTAAAGCGTAATAATCAATTTAATCTAGCTTGCGCTCACTGTTGTAAACGGAAGCAGTTCCGGCCGGATGACGTATGAGGTCGGCGTTGCGACGGAGCCATGTGAGACACTTTTTTTATGGATGGGCGCTTTTTATTTAACTTCTTTTGGACTGATGCACTGCAACACCCGCTGAGTGCCATTAAACAGCTTGAAAGATCAAAGACAATTTTTAATATAACTCCGACTGGATTCGTCTGAAAGAAGAAGGTCATATACACCTAGGATGACTTGAGGGTGAGTAATTTATGGACTAATTTTCATTTTTGGGTGAACTAACCCTTTAAAGTGCAAAAAGGCTATTGAAAAATATGATGTCTGCATATTTCAATTGAGAAAAAATATCATCATATGATCCCCACAGAAGCTTCATGACAACCCGTCAAAATAAGAGTTTGGTTTAGCTTGAAGAAATTGTGACAGAAATACATTACAGTTGTACAGTAGAATGTACTTCTCAAAGTAATAATAATAATTATTATTAAAACTTTAAGGATATCACATAATTTTCCCTCCATGTTTTAATTTCAACTGTAAACCTGCTGTAGTGCAATGCTTATTTTTTTACGAAAATATAAAAGGAAGTGTTTAATTCCTTTTGATTACATTTTAAAAGATTAATTAAATTGTGTGTTTTTATGCCTCCATTTGATTATTACTGTTTTTGATAATTAATTTGTATTAAATCATCAATCCAGAAAAAGTAAAACACACAAAGCACAAAATGTCTGAAAAAAAAGACCAAAAATGATGATCAAACATTTCATAGGGTCCTATTATTGTAAAAAAAAAGTTGTTAAAGTTTTAAAGTTTCAGTTGATTAGACATGGTTTTTGATTATTACAATTTATTTAAAACATTAAAATGGAATCCAGAAAATTAAAACAGAAGACAGAGAATTAAAAAGTAAAATGGAATTTCAGAAAAAATAAAACTCATTTGATAGGGCCCTAATTTTTTTTTTTCAACTTTAATAAATTGTTGTTAATTTGTATAAGTTTCATGAATTTATTTAATAAGACTTGCTTTTTGATTACTAAAATTTTATTTAACAAACATAGTCCAGAAACTGGACAGAATAAACGGAATTTACAAAAAATATAAATGGAAAAAAATTGAATTTGGGGAAAAATAAAACAGAATTTCAGAAAAAATTAAAGCACAAAAAATAAAAAAAAGTAAAATAAAATGAACACTACATAGGGCCCTAAAATGTATTTTTTTGTTCTAATTTTTTTTGTTAGATTATTTTTATGATTTCATTTAATGAGACAAGCTTTTTGAATGCTAAAATTAATTTTAATCATTAAAACATAGGGCCCTACTCAAGTTATCGCTACAAACCTTCATGCAGCATTAATCATTTTCTAAAGTGCCGGCGATGCAGGTCTGGATTTGCCATCATCAGCTGGAGACCAGTTTATAATTTACTAAAGTATAATAGTTTTTATTTAATCTGTCAGAAATAAGGAGGGTTTGCTCATTGGAAAGCGCGTCAGTGATTGCGGCTCTGTTGATGTACTTCGGCACACGACCGTATTTTCATCAGAAACCCTTTTTTTCAGTCAAAGACCTTAAGTGCAGTTGATCTTGGAATGAATAATATTAAGCTCAATCTATAAAGCGAGCGTCCAGGTCTACAAAACTGCTTCACCGAAAGCACAAAGGAGCCATAAAGTACATTTACATGCCGATCCATTGACTTCCCTCCAACTGAGTGTTTGCGGTTTGACCTAGTGAGAGATATTCTTTAGGAAAGCCACAGTGAAATTCATCCTGTCATTCTGATTTGAATCCCACCTGAGGAGACCTTCAAACTCATGCAAATCACAGCAACACTGTTTTCCTGCGTGTTTGCTTCATGTGGTGGGATGATACTGAAATACACGCCAGCTTTTGTAGAAATATAAAAAAGCCTCCCCTTTTTGTTTTGCCTGAAATGGAGGCATAAAGTTCGCTCCTCTAGTCAAAACCAGAGACAATAGCTGGTCAACAGAGGTTTTTATGAACTTATGTTTTGCTGCTTTTCTTATACAAACTTTTATCCTGTAATGAAATCATCCCTGCCAAGATGAAATATATTACTGTAAGGAATATCTCTTGTTTTTAACAGCTTATTTGACCTGTACGGCAGCCTAAAATGATGGCGCACATCTCTTATATCTGCCGTGGGACATGTTTTTTGAGTCATAAATACAAAATGGTCCGTGCCTGTTGTATCTCACGTCTTTAACTGCACACACTCATGTCGTTTTAGACTTGCTTTTGGTTGAAAAAGATGATCACACGACCCTGCAACTCCACAAAGGGCTCGGGGTTGCAGTCTTATATTTTTGAAAGACATTTAATTATAGCTTGCAGTCAAAGGCATTTTTGATGGAGACTAAATGGCCTCCAATTGCAAAGATTTTCTTCCTCCTTTGGCAGGCGCTGAGTGATGATATGGAGATATTATATTCCAGCGTCTAACAATCTGTTGCATTCATCTGTGTCAAACTGCACGGTTGTTGTCAACGACGTGCTTTAGTGATTTGCAGCTGAAATTGAAGTGTAAAAATCGCAGACGCCTCTTACGAAGAAGGGGGGAAAAGGTTTGAATAAAGTCAGCTGGGCATCTGTGAATGCGTACTGTAAAACAGACTCTCTGTTTTTGACTCTGTCTGCTCTGGGCACGCAGGCTGTCTGGAAAAGTGAGGGAGGAAAATGTAAAGACAGTTTCCTCTGCCGCCTCTTGCCGTGACTGTCTGCCGCCCCGTGCCTTCACGGAGGTCTCTAATTGAGATCACTCGTACTTATAAATGGTAGGAAGTTTTGTGGTTCAATGAGAGGAGCATTAGAAAGCGTAGTGTGTGCCTCTTAAAATTAAAACGAGGCTACCGTTTAACTTTCTTAATCAGCTAAATACGTCTCTCCCGAGGCATTTTTCTGCTTTTTCATCTTAACGGAGTTGTTTTTAATAGTGGCAGACCAATATGGGGTTTTCTTTTCAGTGGCAGATCCTGATGTCTAAAGAGCAGGCTGGGTGGTATTATTTTGCTGAAATTTACGTAAAGCATTATAATGAAGCACACAGAATTGCACATTTAAATAAAAACAGAAAAAATGCATAATCATGCATTGGAAGTGTTAAAATGGCAAAAGATCACTTAATTGGCTAATTTGTTATGCCCACTTGGCCGATTAATATTTTTATTGGCTCATAAGATAATATTATAGATTAATTAGCCTTGCCAATAGATTCCCTGACAGTCTGTTATTACAATTAAGCACATTTTCATCCTGAATTTTCTTATTACTATAATGCAGAAAACTGTATTCTCATTACTGTTATTTTAGGATCATTAAGTTACCATTATAGTTTTTAATAATGTTTTGAATTAGTTTTTATTTTTATATTTTGTGTTTTCATTTTAATGAAATGAAATTTTATTTAGTTTTAGTAATTTTTTGTATTTGTCAATTAATTTTTTATTTTTGTCTATATAATTTTTTATTATTT